GGCCACCCCACAGGCTCAGGCCTTGGTCTTACACAGCATCCACCACTGTCCTGGGCCTCCTGTGCTGCTGACCAACTGGTTATAAATTGGGGGATCCAATGACCCCCTCCACGGGTGCATAATTTGCTCCACAGGCCCACAGAACTCAGGGACACACCTATTAACAGTTTATTACAAAGGATTCCACTCAGAAATGGCCAGATTTAAACCCAGAGAATATCTTAGGGACTGACACTCTCATTTTGTTATAGGCAACTGTTATAGGCAACTATGGTGCCTGAGAGTCTCAACCCATTCAATGGAAGCTCCTGGAACATTAGAAATAATTTAGCAGAATAATATTAGCATAATTTTAAAAAATCAAATCATACAGAAGAGCGAATGAATAGAAAGACTCCTCTGCTTTCCTCCTTCTCCTCCCCAGCCTCTGCTGCAAACACATTTATATCTGGTTCATTCAGCAGTTTCCTCTTGCTATTTTATGTGTGTGTGGGGGGGTACTGGGGATTGAACCCAGAGGTGCTCCAGTGCACTATATCACCAGCCCTATTTAAAAATTTTACTTTGAGACAGGGTCTCAGTAAGTGCTGAGGCTGGCCTCAAACTTACAATCCTCTTGCTTCAGCCTCCTGAGCCACTAGGATTACAGGCATGTACCACCGTGCCCAGCCTCTTGCTAGTTCTTAACCCATCTGCTTTGAGCATTACTTGTTGACTTCCTGTTTAACAGATGAAAATGTAGCTCATTTATACACCTCCTTCCTCACAAGGTGGGTTGGTCAGTTTCTCTATCTTATTACTGTTACTGAGATCCTAGGATCTAGAGTGTCCTCCTTAAGGAGTGCTGCTTCCTGGACTTTTAAAAAAATATACCTTTATTTTTATATTATAAAATACAGACATTATCTCATAATTCTGTACTTTGTTAGGTGAATGAATGTGAGTTACTACTACTTCTCTCAGCCTTCATTTCCCCATTTCTGGTCATGAACTCTTTTATATCATCAAAGTTTATAGCAGAAATAATCTGGTCTATAACCATAATTAAAGATTCTACAATTAGCTTGTAAATTTGATTCTAAAAGCTGAAAAGCTGGTCCCTAGTGAGCTCATTATGGTGACCTGCATCATTCCCAGCGGAGTGGACGTGTCATCATGCCGCTTAGTTGTACAGCTTTTTAGTTTTCAGGAGTTTCTAATTGCCTTTTTTTTTCTTCTTCTTGCCGTACTCATGTGTACCACATCCTCATTATGCTTCAGTCTTTCCGTTCAGGTATTCTCTCTGCCTACTTTTCCTTGGAAACTTCCCCTAGGGACCTTCTCCCTCCCGTTTTTCCTAGACTGCTTCCTACTCTTTGGGCCTCTTATGTGGCAGTGTCTGGGAACGTCGTCCCTGGCCTATTCCACTGTTTGGCTCACATGAGGACTGATTTCTAAATGTGAAGGAATTCTGAAGGTGACAGATTACCTGGGGTGCATGTTAGCTGATAGTGGGACAAAGGGATGTTTCTCCTGTGACAGATGAGGGAGCTGTCCCCGGGCTTCTTCAAAGGGTCCTGGCCCGAGAGGGGCCACCTCAGGGGTGACCCCGACAGAGCAGGGGATCTCTGATGTCGGGCTGAAGGGGGAGTTTTCAGTTAGAGGACAGACATTGCCCACGTCAAGAGAAGGACCTGGGTGCACATGCGTTTCCAAGGATCTAAAAAAACTTTTCCATGAAAAAACCAGTAACCGTCCATCCCCACCTGGGCGTGTTGCTGCCAGTAGGCACCTGAACCTCTGTGCAGGTCAGTGCGCTGTCCCTGTCCCTCCGCTGGCCCCCACACCTTACCCTTGGGACTGCTGAGAGAAAGGGATGAGAGGATGGTGGGAAGGCCAGACCCCTTCCAATCTGGGCCTCCAGACCAGGGTCTGATCCAATCTGGGGCGGGAGAAGCTCCATGCTGGACGGGCGTTCGGAACGTCGAGGGCCGAACTGGACCAGACCTTCAGTGCTGAGCACCTGAAGAGCTTCTGTGGCTGCAGAGCAGTCGGGGAGGTGGGGGATCCGCCCCCGACCTCTTCCAGGGGGGTGAAGCAGCAGGTTCAGTGAAAAGGGGGTGTGGGTGCAGCTTGGCCAGTAGCCCTCTCCCCCGATCTGAGGCATGAGGGAGGGCTCCTGGCTGTCCAGTGTACCCCCAGGACTTGTCTCGGGGTGTCCCGGCGGCTCCCCTCTGGCTGGACTCCACACTGCAAGGGCCCAGTGCTGCTAACAGGGGAGGGGGTTGCTATAGCAACTCCCTGCAGAGGCAGAATAGAGGGCCTGAGAAGTCCTCATCTGATGCTGCGGTTCAGGACGGCTCTGCGGGCCAGGGGCTGGCCAAGTTTCTGTAGAGGGCGAAGAGTTTAACCTTAGGAACCACACAGACGGCTGCCGTCTGCATTTCCTGCTCTCGCAGCCCAAAAGCCAACACGGATGCCACACGGATGCCACCCCGATGCGTGAGCTGGGGTGGGCTCCAGTCCGACTCGATTTACAAAACCCACACGTCACTTTGTCCTTTGGGTTTAAGTACAGTTTAAATTTATAAAATAATATAAAAAATAAAGCATTTAAATTTACGCTTTATTTTGGGGGAGATGAGAGTCTCAGTATGTTACCCAGGTTGGTCCTGAACTCCTGGGCCTGATCCTCCAGCTCGTCCTCCCAAGTAGCTGGGACCACAGGCATGTGCCACGGTACCCCCATTCATATCCTTCTGTTCCTTAAGTTTATTTCCCTCCTTCAGTCTTTTACGTCATTCGATTCCTCCCAGCCCTTACTGACTTTTGCAACGATTGTTTTTATATAATCTACTAATTCCTCCTAACTTCCCATTTCTTATGCCAGCTACTGTTCTATCCTGTGTGTCTTTCTTTCTTCTTCGTTTCTTATTGTTTGGGAAGGGAGGGTACTGAGGATTGAACCCGGGAGGCCTAACCACTGAGCCACATCCCATCCCGGCTCTTTTTTATTTTATTTAGAAACAGGGTCTCGCTGAGTTGCCCAGGGGAGAAATGATTGGGTTGTGACTTAGTCCCCTGATAGGGATTAACTGAGTGGTGACTGGGGTGGGGGTGTGGCTGG